GTCAGCTTCTTGGCGTGGATCGTCGTGCAGTTTGCTAATTGGTATGTTCAAAATGCGGACAAAGGCACCCGTCGTGACCTCACCGCTGCTGCGTATTTAACATACAGCTCCATGCACCATGCTGTTTATTGATTTCACAGTGAGAGCGGCGGCACATGTGTTTTTATTGCCTGTGTTTCACATGAGACTCGTGGGTATGTTGAGAGCTACAGCGGCCGACGATGAAAGCCGGAGCGTTTCAAATCAGGATGTAAAATATCCTAAGCAAAATGTGTTGTGGAAACCGAATGCGTCCACGAACAGCCCAGAACAGGCCCAAACCAGCTTCAAGACGATCTCTCCAAATATGATTGACAAAATTATGTAGAAGTCCAAGGCTAAGAGCCCGAGATCTTATGCTACAGTCTCAATTTACCCTCAAAATCTTAAATTTTGACACTTTGTCGAAGTATGTTAATTTACCATTAACAGAGAAGTGTGTTAAATGATCCTCGCATCGGCTATAAATGACAATATACTGATCTGTAAATGATAAATTTTGTTTATGATCCCCGACAAGCGGCCTTCTCAAATTATCTCCATGGTATGCAGAAAGCGGCGTCTGGCCAGTTCACTGTTATTCTGGTGACCGCCAATTACAGCTGGGAACGTGACAATCATCAGATTCTGAACGCTTACAGGAGGTGCGCAGGCGCACGTTTCGCGCGGGGGCGTGACGTAATCGGGCCCGGGGTTGGCGCGGCTGCTGTAACAGGTCGGGTCTGTGGGCCCCAGATCTGTTCATTGTAATAGTGTGATGTGAAGCGAGTATATAGGACTATTTACTGCGGGCAGGCGGCGGTGGAATGTGCCGAATGGCGTCATAAGCACGAATTGAGGACGGACGCTACGCACGGGCTTGGGAAGCTATGCGATGCTAATCATATATTGCAAGCAACGGTGCCTGACAGCTGGCAGGATGACGTCAAACGCCTTGGAGCTTGATACTTCACGCTTTCTGATTCATGAAACGCAAACAGGCCATGGATTAAGCGCTGGCGAGAGGGGTTTTGTTAGAATAGCACAAATCAATCTAGCATGCGTTGCAGGGTGTAATGACTGTGCCTACCGATTTGGTACAGCTTGCGACAGCTCACAGCTAGCGACGATGGCGATATCGAAATCACGAATTTGGATCGCAGGAGTTAAGAACGATTACCTACGCGGAGAAGCCAAACAAGCTTCACCGGGACCTTTACAAATGGTGTCCTTCGTAAGCAGTCAAACTGCGCGAAGCTTTATGTAACAGCAGAATGTTAAAGATTTCGGACACCAACCCACTCCATCTCCCGAGCCGCGCGCAGCACAATGGCGCCCTGAACAAAAGGCGACAGCGGCGAGGAGAGCCAGCAGCTGTCGCTGGCGGCTGGCTCGTGACACGCCCGGTCTGACCAGCTCCCTCCGGGAGAGGCGAACCGCGCCGTCAGCCGGGCCTGTCATCCCGTGCACTGCCCGGGGTGAATGACTGACCACGGCCGGGCCGGCCGGACGCGTTCGGAGATGGCGCGCTCCGTGTCAACTGACCCGTGACGATGATTTACCGGCCGGCCGGCAGGCGGCACCACTGGTGGCCGCGGGCTAACACCAGTGGTGACCGGACGGTGCGGGTGCCAACTGGCCCCCGCTGCTGTTGATGGCCACCAATTCTGACGAACTGTCGGTCTGCCGCGCTCTCACGGTAGGGCGGCCACCTGTTCGAACTACATTAATACAAATGCCCAGCAGTCGGTACCGCAATAATAGCCCGTGCTGCCAGTCATCCCTATTGCTGCTGGACTTAATGACTTCACCACAACTGGTCAATGCTCGCCACGCTCACCACCACTACCAAACGTTTGCCACCACTGCCAAACATGCACCGCTTCTAGTAAGCGCTCACCATTACTGCCAAGCGTGTTATTTATCCACTAAAAATCGGCCAAATGCATTGCAGGGGTGGTCTTACAATCGGAGTCCTCACAAAGCATAGCCTCTTACAAAGACTCTAGCGCAACCAACCAAGCAGGGCAATGCGGTACAGCGGATAAGTTTGGCCGAACTGCTTTGACATGCTATTCAACGCCAAAACACGGCCGCCCCGCGCCAGCCTGACTCTCTAATGGCCATTTGACAATTGGCTTTCCCTGACAGCCAAGCGGCAAATTACAACCGGCAACTAACTCAAAGCCAAATAAGCGAGCGCAGTTTCGAGGACGTGAGCACAAATAGTCTGCCACCCGGGTGGTCAGGTGTTCAGCTCTGCTGTCTGAGCTACACGAACGACAACCCCCCAAGTGTACCACGTGGGCGGCGAGGCGTTTAGCTCCGCTGTCTGAGCTACATCTACAGGGACGACGACACTCAACAGCATTACCGAACGCTCACCACCACCGCTGAACGGTCACCGCCACCGCCAAACGCTCGCCATTTTAACAGGCCGATTATTTTTCGTGATATTTCGCGAATAACCACCAGTGTTCCCGAACGTCCACCACCGTCACTCAACATTCTCCAGTGCTGCCAAGCGTTTCGTACCGCTGCAAAATGTTAACCGACGCTGATGAACGTTATGATAACTACTAAACGTTTGCCGTTACTGCCAAACGTGCACCATGCGCTTGTGTGTTCACCATTGGCGCCTGGTGTTCACCACTCCTGGTGGTCATTCAGCACTACAGCTGAGCATTTATGACCACCACCGGACGTTCACGACTTCTCTGCCAAATGCTCAGCACTGCCACTGAACGCAGGGTCGTTGCTAGTGGGGATGGGTTGGGGAGGGCAAGGGCACGCCCCAGATTCTTGCATACTACCAATGGCAACGGTTCCATCGCTTAACAGTTCGGCCTCACGGGTGTCGCCTCCTCCCAGCCCCACCCATAGACCCTGTTTGATTTGGACGTCTGGCATCGTCGGTTGTGGCTGGGCTCACGCTCTTTTCACAATCGCGGCTGATCGTCCACCACAACTGCGGAACGTTTGTCACTGCCGGGAAAACATGCGCCACACATGTACTGTTGCTGTCAAACGTTACCATCACTGCCGAAGGATTCAAGCCAGTGACGCAGCTAAAGGGGTGGGGCTTTTGGTAGGCACCCCTCCCCGTCACGTTCTGGAACATTATTCACGCCACTGCTGAATATAGTTATCATGTGCACAACCATGGATGATGACATTTAGAGCCCAACAGAGGTAGGTAATTTGGTAACGAGACTAGCGGATACCGCAGTGATGTGAAGGTGCACAGCTGGCGGTGCTGACAGGTGCACAGCTGAAATAATTATTTAAAGGGAGTGTTCCACATTTGTATGGGGCTTTGAACCGAAACAGCCTCACTGATGATCATTTGGTACAGTTACAGTCATATCGCAGGCTGCTCTGCTCATGATCAAGGATAGCATGGCCCCTCATGCATTCGTGTTAGCAATGACGCGGCACATATGGTACAGTCAACGCGAGGCTGAAGGCTATTAATAAGATTTCACTGTTGAATGTGCGTCGCGAACATAAGCGTGAGCACTTTCAGGTTGTGCGGGAGTCGTTGTTGACGGGGCATTTTTCCCCATTTCTAAGCCTTCCGGCGTGGTCTTAAAACTGACACGTGATTAAGACACGCTCGTTCACCGAAACCACTGGGTGAGTCATGGGATGACAATATCCATGCTTGGTCTCAGGTTCAACATCTAAAAAACGCGAAGGGAAAATTTAACGTGCAAAAGCAAATAAATCAGATCTCAGAGCCTATTGCACCGATTGTTGTGAAACCTTCGCCATTTGATACGCCATACGCAATTCCCCGCTGCAATATAAAGTCTGATAACCTTAGGTCAGGTCAGGTAATTAAATTTAACAAATTCCGAAATGTTTACCTGCAGACAACTCATTCGGAACTTATCGCTCCGATCGTCTTTAAATGTGTGGAACTGATTGGCACGAAACCTTCCCCAATCCGTGCATCATGGTAGAAGACCTATGTACTACAGCAATGGTGACCTTTTGTCAGGGCAAGGTCACCAAAGATGTCCCAAAGCGGAAGCATATCTTTGCAGACTAAACGGTGACCTCGACCTTATCTAAAGTCACCACCTTCCTGAAAGACTAGTGGGTTATCGACCATGATGCATCGATTGATGAAGGTTTCGTGCTGATTGATCCCACAGACCCGGAACCTTGTGTTGTCTGTAGCCAATTTTAGTGGCTTCAGGAGTTTTTGTTGTCTTTTACCTGTTCCAAGGTTACCATGCTCTGAAACGATAGATTATTGACCATTGCGCATCGCAAAGTGAAGGCTTCGTTTCGATCGGTCCCATAGGCTCGGAGCATGTTGTTTGAGGATGAATTTTGGAAGTGGTTTTTGTCGGTTTCGAGTGTTTTTGGTGATCTTAGAACTAACCAAAAGTCAAAATTTCCAAGGCAGGCTGGGAAATCGAATATGGAGTATCGATTGGTAAAGTTTTCTCGTGCTGATCGTACCACAAACTGAATGCATGCCGTTGTCTGCGAGCTGACTTCTCTGGTCGTTTCGGGCATTTTTGATGACCTTTGACCTTACCCAGACTCATTGCATTCTGGAAAGGATGGGATATCGACTATGTGCATGGACTAGTAAATGTCTTGTGGTAATTTGTTCCACATGCTCGGAGCGTGGGGTCGTTTTCAACCAGTTTTTCCGGTTGGGTATTTTTGATCACATTTGATCCGACCAGTGGTCACAATATTCTTAGAAGAATACTTTGCCAATTAAGTTAAGAGGCATCGAATGGTGGCGTTAATTAAGTGGCATCGAGTGGTAAAATTTGAGTGACCACCAGCCTCACGAACTCGGAACTCGGCGCTGTGAGCAGGATTTGACGGCCGTGCAACCGTCACCTTCTTTGCAGCTTTTTAGTGGCATACTGAATAATTCGAAATCCTCACCTGCGCTTGTGATCTGTTTACGACGCAGTCCCGTCGCTCCCGTGATTTGTACGTCAACAAGATCTATTCAACGCAAGATATGTAACAGCTGACGCCGCAGGCGTGCTATCCTTTGCTCTGTCGTTTTGAAGTCCATGAGGTTAGCGGGGCGGTGTGAACTGACTGGTGCTAATTGGGCCGGATACTTAACAAACAACCTTAGCATCCAGCCCGCAAATTGTGGCAGGCAGCCCGGCTGCAGCAGCGAAATATCGGATTACGATTCGTTGGTTCTTCCTTAAGTCAATCTCAGGTTTTGAGGCTGCCTGAAGCATATCTTATAAGTCCCTATCATTGCCATAGTTAGCTGATTGGCCAGTCATGTATGCTTTCATGCTATGAATTAGCACTATTATATGGATATACTTTATTACCTTCTTTTGGATGTTTATATGATAAGGAGATCAGTCATAAATTCAAGTCACTATTTCAAACCAGAAGGCTGGTGATGTTTCAAACAGTGCATGTTTTTCTTTTGCATCAGTTTCTTAATTGAGATAGCATTTTAGGTAATATTTAGGTTGAACAGGGTACATTTTGGGATTTATGTCTGGACATATTGATCCAATTGGCTTAATCTGATTTTCAGCATGTCTTGATGCATTTATTAAGTAATTTTTTACCTCTTTTTTGCTGTGAAAGATGACTGTGCATTTGGTAAAAAACTGCAAGTATTATGTAGTAAGCATAATATTGATCAAAATGGTTAAGCAAACAAAGGCTGTTTTTTCTGGTAAGCTGTTTAAAATGGATTTTTTTGGGAGCATCTGAGCTTCAAGCTCACTTTCTGAGAATTTGTGGTTTAAGCTTTGATTTATGCATACTATACCTTCAGCATTATCACAGTTAGCTGTCATTTATCATAATGGATCAAGCTCCAATTAATGTGGAATGGTTACAGTATTTTGTGGGGCTTGCCAGCTAGTGATCAAGACTATTTCCCTGACATGCTAATCCAAATTTATACCACAGGTATTTTTACCTCAAGTAAAAGTGGTTTGGTGATAAGTGACATAAAGTGTTCTAGTGATAGTTGTTTTGCTGATGACATGGTATTGCCACCTTCCATATTCCACCATGCTCATTCTGAAATGTTCTTAGTGCTTATCAGACACAAACCTCTCAGAGCTGTCTAGCCTCCCACCAAGTTAAAAACAGTGTATGTGTGTGTCATGCTGTGTAAGTGCAAGTCATGCTGATGGATGGAAGGCATCCTGTGTATGTAATATATGTGAGCTTCCTGCAGCCTGCTTCTGTGTTGCCTGGTGTTATGGTGAATGCAGCAATTTCTGTTCATGGCAGGGAACACTCACTGCCAAGTTGAGTATATGATAGTGTGCTGGTATAGAACAACTTGTCTTACAAGGAACTAGTTCATGCTGTCTTTGCACAGGTCTTAGACATGGGTCTAAAAGAAGCTGTTTTACCTCAATCCAGTGTGGTAATAAAATTATCTATAATTGTGACCTCCTCCAGTGGGTGCAAGAATCCTTTGTAACCTGACCCTCCAGCTCTTTTGCAGTGTGTATGCTTAATACATGCAATTTTTCAGGGTTGAGATAAGCTGTCTGAAGAAAACAAAATGACTTCATTTTCCACCACTCAGCAAATCCACCCAGTAAGTATGTCTTGATAGAACATCATCTGGGACTTCAGCCAACTCTTCAACCATCATCATGCTAGTATACCTTATATATAAATTAGTATAGCCAGTGACTATGGAAATACTGAGCACACCATTGTGCCTGTATGTCCTGACATGACTTAGAGTTGTTCAGCTGGAATGGAAGTATGCTGCTGCGCTTGACAGCAGTAACACATACTCAAACTGGCTCATGTGTCGTGCTCTGACAGACCTCCAAGACCATGCTTACAGCATCCTGAGAAGCAAACTTCTAACACAAAATACATGAAATCTGCTGCAGAGGAAGCCTAGTGTCTCAGCTCCTTACAATCTTGTGCAGAGTGTATGCAGTGTTTCCCCTGCATCCCCATCTGCTGCGCCTGTGAAGGGCCGCCCTCTGGCGCGGCTGTGTGTGATCCTGTGCTCGTGCTGACGTCGCCGCCGTCGCCAGGTGTCGCTGGCGTCGGTGGTGGCCGCGCCCCTGACCGGCCGGCCCGAGCTGCTGGCGCGGCTGTGTGTGATCCCGCGCCCGTGCTGACGTCGCCGCCGCCGCCAGGTGTCGCTAGCGTCGGTGGCGGCCGCGCCCCTGGCCGGCCGGCCCGAGCTGCTGGCGCGGCTGTGTGTGATCCCGCGCCCGTGCTGACGTCGCCGCCGTCGCCAGGTGTCGCTGGCGTCGGTGGTGGCCGCGCCCCTGACCGGCCGGCCCGAGCTGCTGGCGTGGCTGTGTGTGATCTCGCACCCGTGCTGACGTCGCCGCTGCCGCCAGGTGTCGCTGGCGTCGGTGGCGACCGCGCCCCTGGCCGGCCGGCCCGAGCTGCTGACTCGCCTGTTCGCCGAGTCGACGCTCAAGGAGCTGGCCGCGCTGTACCCGGTGCTGCTGGAGGACGTGTTCGGCTTCGGCGGCCGGCCCGGCTGGAACGTGCACCTGGTCACGCGCAAGTGCCACCCCCGCGAGTTTGACCAGGTGGGTGGCCGGCGACGGTGCTGGGATGGGTGTGCGCGCGTCGATGGGCTCGCGCTGTGGTGCATTGGCAGAAGGAATTGAGGCGAATGTCATAGCTGCCAGAGACATATGTGTCCCAAGGAAATCAGGCAGGGAAACATTTTTTCCATTTGTCATCATCGATGTGTTATGGCAACACATCGCGGCGTGAACACTACATTCGGCAGCTACATGTCAAGTTGCGATAGCTCACCATCTGGGGTGGCATCTGTGGGGTCTTCACATGCTGGTTCATCCTTTAATATCACAGTGGAAGTAGGTGGGCGATGGCTCGAATTTCATTGAAGACGTGAGTACGACGTTGAAAACATCAGCAATTGTGTCTTTAATGACCGCCGGCCGGCCTGTCTGTTGCAGCTGCGCGGCCTGCTGCAGCCGGCGGGCCCGCTGTTCTCCGTCATGTACCGGCTGATGGCCGACCCGCACGTCGCATACGAGTTCCCCACCGCCTGCCTACCGGTCAGCGGTTTTGAAGTGTTTTTTCTTAGGAGTGGGCTGGCATGTGAGAAGAGCGAACTGTGCATGTTATAACAGTAAAATGCACTTGCAGTTAAGCTAATCGTATATTCAACAACATTGTCATTGCATTATGTACGTGGTTTCTCCCAAAACTTTTTTTTGCATTCTCTACACTGATAATTGTCTTTGTTAAATGCATGCCATTCTCCAGGGGCAGGGTCGTGTACATCACCACACGGACCTTCACTCGAGCTCTGAACCTGGGCTCCGCTGTTTAACTATGCGCGGGCGGTGTAATATGCAGGCGTGCCAAACCCCAGCGCCCAGCCACGCCCCCGCTCCGGCCTTCCGCATGCCGTTGGCCGGCATCGAGCGTCTGCTGACGGTCGTGTCCGCTGGCGCCGGCAGGCGAGCGCGGCCGGCGCCGCCTCGCTCTCGATGACGGCCGGCCAGTGGTCGATGCTGAGCCCGCCGACGATCGGCGGCGCGCCGACCTGGGGCCAGAGCGTGATGCTCAGCCCGCTGGAGCTGTACCTGCACCACTTCTGCTTCTTCCTGCTGAGCCTGGCGCAGCAGGGCGCGCAGATCGCGTGGGCGGCGGCCGGCGACGCGCTCTACCCGACGCTGCTCGACGACCTGATGACGTACTTCCTGCCGTGCGGGCCGCAGTGGGTGCCGCCGCTCAACACGCCGGCCGGCTACCACCACCACCACCCGCCCATCAGGTGCGAGGACGGGCTGTCGCTGGGGCAGAGGGGAGGGGGCCATCAGGTGTGGGACGGGCCGCCGCTGGGGCAGAGGGGAGGAGGACCATCAGGTGTGGGACGGGCTGCCGCTGTGGGAGGGGGAGGGCCATCAGGTGTGGGACGGGCCGCCGCTGGGGGAGGGGAGGAGGGCCATCAGGTGTGGGACGGGCCGCCGCTGGGGGAGGGGAGGAGGGCCATCAGGTGTGCCTACAAGCCACCGCTGGGGGAGGGGAGGGGGCCATCAGGTGTGCGGGACGAACCGCCGCTAGGGGAGGAGAGGGGGTCATCAGGTGTGCAGAAGGACCGCCGCTGGGGGAGGGGAAGGAGAGGGCCATCAGGTGCGGGACGGGCCGCCGATGGGGGAGGGGCCATCAGGTGCGGGACGGGCCGCCGATGGGGGAGGGGCCATCAGGTGCGGGACGGGCCGCCGATGGGGGAGGGGCCACCAGGTGCAGGGAAGGGCCACCGCTGGGAGAGGGGAGCGGTGTCGCTCCGAGAGGCACCAGCGCTTTTGAGACGGTCTGCAGGGACAGGGAGACAACCTATGGCGATCTTTGCCCGGTAGATGTGCTTTTATCTAGCTGCGCGTAATATGTTTTAATACAATAAATGATGATTATAATGATGTTGATATTGTGCTCCATATGTCTGCATTATGACTCCTGTGGTAGCCACGCATGTTCCCCACTGGTGTCCCCGTGCGCTCCTCTGACGGGTGCGTTTCCGTCCACAACGAACGGTACCGTCCGATCCCTGCCTCCTCTGATGGGACCCCGGAGACGCTCTGCCCTGACCGTCCCTCCGCTCCCCGACAGCATGACCCCGGAGACGCTCTGCCCTGACCGTCCCTCCGCTCCCCGACAGCATGACCCCGGAGACGCTCTGCCCTGGCCGTCCCTCCGCTCCCCGACAGCATGACCCCGGAGACGCTCTGCCCTGACCGTCCCTCCGCCCCCCCCCCCCCGACAGCATGACCCCGGAGACGCTCTGCCCTGACCGTCCCTCCGCTCCCCCGCAGGATGACCCCGGAGACGCTCTGCCCTGACCGTCCCTCCGCTCCCCCGCAGCATGACCCCGGAGACGCTCTGCCCTGACCGTCCCTCCGCCCCCCCGCAGCATGACCCCGGAGACGCTCTGCCCTGACCGTCCCTCCCCCCCCCCCGCAGCATGACCCCGGAGACGCTCTGCCCTGACCGTCCCTCCCCCCCCCGCAGCACGACCCCGGAGACGCTCTGCCCTGACCGTCCCTCCACTCCCCCGCAGGATGACCCCGGAGACGCTCTGCCCTGACCGTCCCTCCGCCCCCCCGCAGCATGACCCCGGAGACGCTCTGCCCTGACCGTCCCTCCGCTCCCCGACAGCATGACCCCGGAGACGCTCTGCCCTGACCGTCCCTCCGCCCCCCCGCAGCATGACCCCGGAGACGCTCTGCCCTGACCGTCCCTCCGCTCCCCGACAGCATGACCCCGGAGACGCTCTGCCCTGACCGTCCCTCCGCCCCCCCGCAGCATGACCCCGGAGACGCTCTGCCCTGACCGTCCCTCCGCTCCCCGACAGCATGACCCCGGAGACGCTCTGCCCTGACCGTCCCTCCGCTCCCCGACAGCATGACCCCGGAGACGCTCTGCCCTGACCGTCCCTCCGCCCCCCCGCAGCATGACCCCGGAGACGCTCTGCCCTGACCGTCCCTCCGCTCCCCCGCAGCATGACCCCGGAGACGCTCTGCCCTGACCGTCCCTCCGCCCCCCCCCCGCAGCATGACCCCGGAGACGCTCTGCCCTGACCGTCCCTCCACCCCCCCCCCCCCGCAGCATGACCCCGGAGACGCTCTGCCCTGACCGTCCCTCCCCCCCCGCAGCATGACCCCGGAGACGCTCTGCCCTGACCGTCCCTCCACTCCCCGACAGCATGACCCCGGAGACGCTCTGCCCTGACCGTCCCTCCCCCCCCCGCAGCATGACCCCGGAGACGCGCCGTCTGTCGACGCCGCCCCGTCTGCTGCTGCGCACCTCGCTGCTGCGCCAGGCGGCGCCGCCGTCGCCGGTGGCCTCGCCCACCGGCCACGGCCACCTCGGCCTAGAGACGTGGCGCAGCGAGGCTCTGCTGCGCGCCGTCGCCGCCTTCTGGCTGGAGACGGGCCCGCGCGGCGCCGAGCTCCGCCCGCCCGCCACGCCGGCGCAGGTGACGTCATCACGCCGTCGGAGGGGTCACGAGGGAGGGGGGGGGGGAGGAGGGGCGGCCGGGTGCTGGTTGGGGTTTGAACGGCGGGGTGATGTGGGATGGGTGACGATGCTGTTGCGAGTTGTGTTCATTTCTTCGTGTGGTGGTGCGGCAGTGTTTTAAAACGGCTCTCGCACGTTCCAGCACGACTTCCTCACACCGGCGTCGATACTGTATGAGCTTGTAAGTGTGTCTTTCGTTTCAATGAACCATCGCCAGCTAGCGGCTTCAGTTCGCTAACGCTTCTGCGTGCTGTGGCTGTGCTGAATAACGCCGTGCTAGTGCCGTCCTGGTCTCCATAACACCGTGAGTTCTTTAACACAAATCATAGAAGCCAGACAGGCTGTAAAAGGATGACGGCTGCTTGAGCGGCAGCTTATGCAGCTATGGCGTAAGTGAAGCACACATTTCATAACCTACTTTTTGAGAGATGTTATTGTACTCTAGGTGCTAGCGGTATGCTGCTTTACTATGCTTGACCGGTTATGTGATTTTTTTCTCCAATGTTAAGCCATTCAAACCATACGAAATCAGTGGAAGGAGCTATCATGCTGTCATGCTATATATCATGCTATCCAGCCGATGTTAAACTCGGGTAACATAGGTATTTTTTTCTATTTGGAAACGATTGCCAGGGCTCTTGTCCCTGTGTCGGCATGGAGCTCTTGAATATCTTTGCTATCCATTACTCTAGATCCTTACATTACTGTCGTCGCTTAGGATAGGACCTCCTAAAAATAATTGGGACCGTCTGTATGGGAACAAAAACCTGCTGCTGCACAGCAACTGAACCCTGTAACTGATCGAGGGTCGGGGCAGGTGTCCAAGTGCCAGGCACTTGCAGTACCTTACGCCAGGTCAGTGACCTATTTGCGGTTAGCTAAGTCACAACGGACCAAATTGTCGTTGAGTATGGTTTTGGTAGAAAGCGTTTTGATGTGGTTACGCTTTTATGCCAATCCGATATTCGCATAGGTCACTGACCCAAGTAGCCCTAAATTTCCAGTGTTTTCGGTAACATTCTTTCTTTTTATGTAATCTATGATTTTCCTCAATTTTAGGATGTGTTGTGTCATTTTGCTTGCGGTGGCTTTTGCCTCGAAAGGTCGTCATATTTCACTGTCTGGAATTGCTTTTTAACCCCAGAATTGTTATAGTATGCACTATATCCGAACAAGTTTTCTGTTTTCGTTCGCCTGTGGGCTGCATTTACTTGAATTAGTGTCGGTCCCCCTTCTGCGTGTGCCATGTTGCCGCGAAAGGTCAACATAGGTCACCTTTTTAGGCTGATGCGGGATCAACAACAGCAGAATGTAATGATGGGTTGGACACAGCATTATGGGACGTGACTTGCTCACTTATGTATTGAAACGATGCAGACCATTTTGCAGTGCAACCTACTATGACCTTGACCTGGACTACAGATTAGGATAATTCAGGCAAAAGATGCCCAAAATTGCATCACTTATCTAAGAATACTTCAGATGTCTCTTATCTCATTCACTCCCGAGCTAGCGGAGGGGGAGCGGGTGTCTGTTCTCCCGGTCAGTTCCAAGAAGACATGGGACCTCGTCAGTGCGGGGGTTAAAACCGTCCAACTTATCTATGAGCCCAAGCGGTGTATCTTTGTGGGATGGGACGCCTCTCTCGATCACGGCATGGGCCCCAGCCGACCTTAACTTTCTTGTCTAGTTTTCCGATTTTGGACAAACTTTGGACAACAAATTATGTTTGAGGTCTTCATGTTGGTTCCGCCATTTTCATAAACCTCTCTGTGCTGGCCCCTGCTGGTTTTTACGTCCTGACTTAGGAACACGCGCGATGCGTACATTACGCTTGAGTTCATTTGCATTACGAACAGCAACGTGGACGAACGTCTGCAATACCAACATAAGCGCGTGCGGACGCTTGGGTTTAGACCATTTCTGTGTGAATGTGAATGCTTACAACCGAGGCGCGATCATCTGCGCTTACGAATGGCTGCGACATCAGCATTTGCGATACGAACTCAGTATTTACGAGCACTTGAGTACTGCATGGGTCCGGTTGCGGCGTCTCCCAGATGCGGGCTATGGCCATGGATGTACCGTGGAGAGGAGGGTGTTGTTATGTTTAACATGGACGTAAGGGAATGTTCCGCATCGCTCCCTGTTTGGATGTGGTCTTATAGCAATGTAACCACGCTACACCATACCTTTGCATCAGTTGGTTTTGTATTTCTACTGACCACAGGCCTTAGCTGGTTGACTGTTGTCTGGCCGTTAAAACGTAGACTCTGCCTTATCATATAACAAGTCTGCCACTGCCTATTTAGCTGTCGTGCTGGGCCTAGTTTATCTGTGTCTAACCTGTTAGTCTGTTAACCCACCAAGCATTAACCCTCTGCTTTCCTCGTGTTTTTCTCGTGCCTTTCCTAATCTGCTCTTCCTCTGGAACCTGTGCACCCTATGTCTGTTGCGTATATGTTAGACCTCCCATTAACGACGCATTGTACATATGCATATGGAGCGGGATCGGTATCGATTCCTTTCGAATTTCTAGGCGCGCTATATTGATGTCGGTGGTGGTTCGCCAATGGCCTTTGGTGACCGGTTGTTAGGCTTGTATATTCAACGCGATGATGGGGCTCTGTTCCCCAAAGACGCCTGTGACAACAGCATGTTTGGCTTCCGATACAATGTATCATTTGTACGTTGCTTTGACAATGTCAATTTAATGCGCATTGGGCGGAGGACATGCTGAACCCTATTCTGCTATTAGTCTGGCGTAAAAGTGCTACGGGGTTGTCAACGGTATGAACTCGGCGCTCTGCCGCGTGTCGCGTTTTTTCTTTTTTTATCTGCCGTCTGTTAGGCTCGGCACCAGTCGTGGGTGTCTTCACTGCGTTTTCTGCGTTGCGAGCGCCGGTCCGGTCCCCACCTGCCTCCCATCCCCCGCGCGTGCGCGGCTGGTGGTGAGGGCCGCCGCTGACGTCCGTCCGCGCTGACCCGGCAGGACACGCACGTGCCGAGCCACGACCAGATGCGGGTGGTGCGCATGCTGGTCAAGCACATGCACCTGTTCACGAACTCGCCCCACCACCTGGCGGGGCTGGAGGACTTCAAGAGGTGAGGCGCCGCCAGACCGATCGGCTGGGCCGTGTACGGTCGTGCGGTCACGGTCACGGTCACGGTCACGGTCACGTAGCGGTCACGGTCACGTGGCGGCCGCGGTCACGTGGCGGTCACGGTCACGTAGCAGTCACGGTCACGGTCACGGTCACGTGGCGGTCACGTGGCAGTCATCTCACAGGGGGTGGCTAATGTGATGGTTGCGGTGGGTTGGGTCTCTTGCGCCCGCGTTTTGTGAGGGGTGAGGTATGGTTTTTTGAGCCACAGTAACGGGCGAATCTCCTTGCTGTTCTCTCGCGACGCGTGTCTCGAGTACTGCACCTCCAGTCTGTGCACGATAGCCTGCGATATATCGATCTTAATTAACTGCAACATGGCCAAGAAGTTGTGTCAAGATACATCAACCCCTTTCCTTTGCAGTCATAGGAGAATTGGCTAGAACTTGCTGCCCCTTTGAGAGGCCATTTCAGTTACAAAATTTCCATTCTGCGGTCTAGCCTTGGGATTTGTGTCTTCAGGTAGACTCTAGGCGTAGGACTGGTGGCCCGGGGCCTTCAGCGGTGCCGCTCGCGTTATGCACCCGTCGCTCGGTGCATTCCCCCAGACGCCCGTGCGCTCACTCGGTACGCTCCCACGGTCGCCCTTGCACTCACTGGATACGCTCCCCCAGACGCCCGTGCGCTCACTCGGTACGCTCCCACGGTCGCCCGTGTGCTCACTCGGTGCGCTCATTGGCTGCTGGTTAGCTCTGGCCAGATAGGCCTGTTTTGCCTAGCGCGCCCTGCCTGCGCTGTTGTGCTGGACAGTCCCTATCCGCGGCGCCAGCCGTGCTCGCACGGCCGGCCAGGACGGCCCGCCAGACACCCTGTCAGCCACGATGCCTGACGCCGCCGGTCCCGCACCCGCGGCACAGGCAGGCGCAGGCGATGCTGCAGAAGAGGCTGTACGGCTTCCTGCGGCACGCGTTCAAGCACTGGCCGACGGACATGTCGCTGCGGCTGGTGCTGGAGACGTGGCTCAGCTACATCCAGCCGTGGCGCTACACCGACTACACCGTCAAGGGCAGGTGAGCGGCGGCGGCGGCGGCGTCTCGCTGGTGAAGTGACGCTCGCGGCACTCTGGTGCTCCGCGACCTTGTCCGTTCTGCCTGCCTCTTTTGGTCACGACGTCCCCCCGTCCTCCGCTCCGTCTGTCTGTCCGCCGTCCGCACTGTGGATGGGGCCCTCTCGGTCCCGGTCTGGCTGGGCAGCCTTTACCTCGCGCTGCGCAGTGGGGCTTACAGTTCTGGTAATGATGAGCGGGGACTTACGTCTCACGGACTGTCAATGCTATTTCGTGACGGATGTCTTCATCATGTGTCATGTATGATTCGGATGTGGCTTGGCAGGGCTCGAACCGACAGGTCCAGAGCTGAGCGTCCCAGCCGCTGGACGACCAGCGGCCAGTGTTCACAGTTCATTGCTGCTGCTAGCGGTTTTTTGCCGCTGCCGCGTCACATGTAGCACGCTCAGTCGCTGTCCCATGCGTCCTGCAATCGTCAGCATGTTTGCCGACAGGTCACCCGGCCAGAACCAGAAAGAGTCTGACAAGCATGTGGAGCCGGCGTGGGGTCGGTTCGTGGCTGATAACCTGCTCTTCTACTCGGCCATCTTCCGCCAGCTGCTGCCCCGGTTCCACCGAATGGACCTCACCGTGCCGCGATACGCCCACATGGTGCACCGGCTCGCCAGGGTGCGTGCCTTGGATTCGTTGTGGCGGGTGGTGTGGCGTGCGCAGAACATCTGCTGATGCGCTGCACCCGGGCTGCTTAACATCTCACAGCCGTCCGCACGCCAACGTTTCGTTCAGCTGTTACTGAGCGGCTCCTTGCAGCGCGCCGTCGTTGCGTACATGTATTTTTTAACTTCCACCGCGCGAGGCTGGTGGCTCATTCCCCTCCCCCAACGGGTTTTCCGAAACTGGGGAGAAAGTGAAAGCCGCGGCGTCATCGAGGTTGCCGCGACTGTCGACATTCAATGCGCATGTTTTGTACCTGTTGTCATTCACATGCACCCCCTAAAAGTTGCCACGAGTTACATTAGGCCATTGGTGTTAATTGTCATTTGTCAAAGCCAGTGGGCTGCGGCTGTTCGTGTCAAAGCGCGTTTTTCGTAGTTTCGTAGCATGAATGGTAATCTATGGGTGCGAAGTCTGGATAGAAGGATCATTCCAAGGTAAACGACTCACGTCCTTGGGCGTGTTGGTGTTCCTGTGCCGTGACAACCGCGGACTCGGCGGTTGCGCTGACCTCGTCCGACCGTAGGTCGATCTTGGGCCGTTATTTTACACCCATTATGGTCCGAAGGCGGTTTTGAGTTGAACATTTTCTGCTCCAAAAATGGCGTTTTGCTCGGCGAAGCTCCGAATGTTTCGGACTGTTTTGTTCACAGGCACAAAGGCTGATGTCGCATGGACAGTTACTGGTTAACCTCGAGAGGTCAGAGGGTATCGCGTTTTGTTGTGTGATATCAAACCGTCGCTCTCAGCTGTATGCTTGGCTGCACAGTGGACTGACGGCGGGGGGACGATTAACGCCGCTGGCGTGTTTCGGACGATGATCGCTGCCGCCGAGCGGGCGGCTCTGTTTGTCATTGCCGGTTCCGCATCATTGCTTGCTGTTGCGGAACGGACCCTTAATTTGCCCGCTAGATATTACCGTATGCTTGTGGGCCAAAGACAATGTGCAAAAGCAATATCGTTGTCCTTTGCAAATACTTCAAGACTGAGGGCTTTCTGCATTTTGCACAGCCGTATCCTGATGCGCGTGCATGCATCATATTCTCTTATGAGGGCCCCAGACGGGGACGCGCCGGAGCGTGTCACCGAGCCACTGTTCGCCCCGCTGCCCCAGGTGATGTGCCAGCCGGGCTTGAGCAAGCTCATCCACGAGGCCGAGGCCCTGCTCGGCGAGAACCGCTGGGCGTCACGGCACGCCGCCAACAGCGACGCGTCGCTGCTGTACGCCGCCTCGGTCGGTCAGCACATCATCGATCTGGAGGAGGCCGGCTTCGCCTACCAGCCCATGTTTGACGCCGCCTGCCGGCAGCAGGTATCTACCGGTGACGGCGGAGAGGGAGTCAGACGGACTGGCTTTCTATGTCAGGGGCATGGTGCGAAGTGCCCGGTGTAGGGACATTGCAATTTTCGTGAGGCATGGTGCGTTAAGGAATTGCAGCGGAAAAGTTGGGAGATATACTGATGAGATGGGCATGCTGCTTATATGGTGGGAGCTTGGAGATGATTTGTGTTTTTCTTTGATTTATGAGTACAGTATGCTATAGATGGAGCTAAACATGCTTTGGCCGGAGATAGCTGCACTTTGCGTCGTTCTAAAACACAGTAGCTGCTAATCACAGACCCAGTTATGAACCCTATGAACTCAAAGATGTTCGGCAGTGGAATTTCTCACCTACGATGGTTGCCGCTGTCTGTGCGGCGCCAGTCGCAAAGACCCCATGTGTGTTGTATTCTCAGGTGCAGTGCCTGTCACCAGGTGCCGACCCTGACCCCCAGCCGTGCCTTGCCAGGTGTAGACCCTGCTCTCGCTGCTGAGCGAGGCGCGGCGCGTGGAACAGCAGACCCTGATCCCCAGCCGTGCCTTGCCAGGTGTAGACCCTGCTCTCGCTGCTGAGCGAGGCGCGGCGCGTGGTGCAGCAGACCCTGACCCCCAGCCGTGCCTTGCCAGGTGTAGACCCTGCTCTCGCTGCTGAGCGAGGCGCGGCGCGTGGAGCAGCAGACCCTGACCCCCAGCCGTGCTTTGCCAGGTGCAGACCCTGCTCTCGCTGCTGAGCGAGGCCCGGCGCGTGGTGCAGCAGACGCTGACCTCGCTGCCGGCGTCGGCCGGCTCCTCCGGCTCGCTGTGGGCCAGCCTGCTGGGCGCGCTCGGCGCCCGCTCGGCCGAGCTCACGTGCGGCGAGTTCTCGCCGGACGACATGCGGCGCGGCGCCAACCACCTGGACGAGGCCATCCGCCAGCTGGCGGCGCTGTACGAGGTGCGCTGCAGAACCGGTGGCCGCGCTGGGCCGGCGCTGCGGTGCGGTGAATGGCGAGGGAGAGCGAGTGGCGGCAGGCAGTTAACTGTCCCGATTCAGTCACAGCGCGCATGGTTGTTTGTTCGTCGTTTTTTGTGCATCATCGTGTGATGCCGTATAAAGGTGGACACAGCGTGAACTACAGTTCAGCTAATTTCGAAGGAAGTTATGTGTCCTTGTGTATCCAGCGTGGCTATTTCGCCAGTCACTGATTCACCTCTGCTGCAACGCCGCAGTATCTGTGCAAAGTTTTCCCGCCAGCGTGGCCTTTATGGTCCAGTGTCAAGTCGAGTACCGCGTGCTGGTGCTGTCAATTGTGGTGGTGCTTTCGCCGTTATATTGCAACCTTAAACAGGACTGTGAAGGCAGCAATATTTCCTTTACTTTCAATCTGTTGACACTAAATGCCCGATTTACGTGACATTTTAAGCTCTTTGTAAAAAAAGTTTTGAACTACTTTTTCGTAGGTCCAATCCATTCAATTCAGCAACAGTAGAACCTTCGTGCAATAGTCCCCATCGGCGCACACCGAGCGCGCCTGTGCGGCCGCCGCGCGATCCGCCGGCGTCGCCCTCAGTCCGGCCCCCTCCCTCCGCAGCTGCCGGTGCCGGAGCCGGCAGCGGCCGACTCCCCATCGACGCCGGCCGGCCGGACGCCGCCGTACGCGGCCGGCACGCCGCTGGGCGCCGGCGTGCTGACGCCGTCGGCACTGCAGTCGCCGGCGGTGCGGCGCGCGCGCGGCGCCGACTACGAGCCGACGCCGGACGGGCCGCGGCTGACGAAGCTCGGCCGACAGCAGCTGATCAGCGGCCTGTGCCGGGCCGACGTGCAGTACCAGGGCGACCCGGAGCGGCGGCCCGTGCAGAGCACCGAGAGCGCCACCCTGCTGCGCGCGCTGCAGGCTCTGGCGGCGCACGTCAACCAGACGGTGAGCGGACGGGGAGGAAGGCTGGCTGAACGAGGCGAGCATCCGGCCGGAGGCGAGGGGCAGGTGGGCGGTGGCGGGGTGACAGGAGGGGGCGGGGTGGGAGATGGGGTTGTCGGCGTGGCGGGGAGGGGGCTGGCGGGTGAGAAAGCCTCGTGACCGGGTGCTGTGGATATGCGGCCCTTAGTGGGATGTGGAGGCGTATGGGTAGGCGGGACGCGTTAACTAGACGTGGTTACGAGTGGAGCCGGGGTCAAAGTGACCCTAACCTGACCTCTGGGAAAATGCTCGACTTTAGCGGCCTGTCGCGACCGGTGCACTTTTCAGATCCCCCTATCTGCAACCACTCATCGCAGCTTCATATGGTTTTTTTCGGTCAATCGCAATTCTGTTAAAATATGTACGGCACAAATTTGTATGCGATTGCCTGTAATGTGTCCGGTCCGATGATATATTTCGCGTAGCGTTATCATTGGAGCAAAATAGAACTATTCTCATTCGATAAGCATGGGGGCGTTAAGTTTCAAATTACCTAAGCGCGGAAGGATGCGGTCGAGACCTGGCCCAGATCTGGGCGATCCGTTGTGGGAGCGACACAATGCCATCCAATTCGGACAGGACAGAACGGGCAGTCATGCAGGCAAGTAGTGGCAGCTCACGTTGTGTGACCTCCCCGAACCTGCCCGCCATTCCCGTGACGGCCCCAGCTCGTCCTGCCCCCTTCCCCCCCCCCCCTCCCGGCCCCCTCTGACGGGCACCGCTCGCGTGCTGTTTCAGTATGGTCCAACGCTGGCGGCACTGTACGCCCGCGACGACTACGCTGGCTACCTGGCGCGCCAGGTGATCCAGCCGCCCGCCACCTTCTACCACTTCGTGCGCGTGAGCGACCGCTCGAGCGCGCGCCAAGCGGTGCACCGGCCGGCGGCGGTGAGCCTGCGGCGGCTGGCGGACCTGCGCTGCGTGGCGCTACTGGCCGCCGGCCTGCTGCTCGGCCTCGCCGTGGGCCTGAGCCCAGCTGGCGCGCTGCTGGCGCTGGTGCTGGTGCCGGCAGCGCTGGTGGCCGCGGCCGCGGCGCTCCGCATGGCGGCCGACCGATGGCGGGGAGCGACCGGCGGCGACGGCGGCTCGCCGCACCGGGCCGGGCTGAGGCCGCTCGCCGACGACCGGTAGCCGCGGGCGTACGGATGAGAGCCGCGCGCGGACGAATGGTAACGGCTCGCCGACGACCGGTAGCCGCGCGCGGACGAACGGTAGCCGCGCGCAGCCGGCTGCAGGACACCGGGGCAGGTGCCAATGTCCGGCTCGGCGGACGGGACGCTCCGAGCGTGGTGGGATGCGTTTGGAGAGGCGGCGGGTCTCGGCCCGGCTGACTCGTTTCGAGGCGAGGCTAGGTGACGAGAGGTTCCCGTGACGCAGCGGGTCCGCCGCCCCAGCTGGCCCGCTGCAGACACCACGTGAATCTGCCATGCGATTGTGATTGATCAGAGCGTAGTTTGCCGCAGGCGCGTCACGCACGCCGTTTGTGATCAACTGGGCGGCGTTTAGAAGCGTCATGGCGCTTCTCACAAACCTGGGAGAGGTGACATGGCGCTTCTCACAAACCTGGGAGAGGTGACATGGTCTGGGAAAGTGCCGAGTAGCAAGGAATGTGAACCGCTATCGGAGGGAAGCAGCCCCGAATGCGATAGTGGATGGGAGAACGGACGTGAGCCATTCAGTCTGCAATACGTGTGTGTTCGCGCGGACGAGTGCCTAGGTCGGAGAACTCCGTCCTTGTATCTTGTAAGCTCTGTCGTGCGGGGCCACCTCGCCTTAAACCACGTGGCGCCCTGCTTTCCTGGGGCTCTTTTAAATACCGCTAACGCCAATCCTGTGTCGGTAACCATCGGAGTTGTAGTGCTTATATGGTATGGGCCGCGGTTCTTGAAACAATAAACGCTCGGTGCGGTTCGGAACGATGTCGTGTGTGTTTCGCGTACGGGTGGCGCGTTAATTTGTGTTGGGACGGACCTGCTCTCCACGCCTGTCGTGTGCGGACACTGGACACTGTCCGCTGGCCACCGACAAGACGGGTGCGTGGGAACTAAAACGACCCGTGTGTCAGTTGATCACGTGCTAGCCACGAGCGGCCCTCGTACACGTCGCCAGCTTTAGAGCGATAATCGAAATCAATGTCCGACCTTCAAGCACCAGCAAATGGATGCAACATTGGTTTGACCCGTCAAGAGCCCTGAAACAACGTAGATCGCCTAACCTATGCTTACCTTTCTCAATATCCCCACCTGTTCTTACCTTATCCAATTATGCGCCTATCTTTGCTCACCTCATTCAGTTTGCCGGTCTTTCCTTACCTCACTCAGCATGCCTGTCTGCTTTCCTTATTCAGTTTGCCTTCTATGCTTACCTCACACAGCATGCATATTTATGCTTCTCACTCATTTTGTCTATATAAGCTTGACTCACTCGGTACGCCTGTATGTGCCCATGGGCTACCGGCTCACGATGAAAAAAATGCAGCTGTGTGCGGTGGAATCGAAGGTCAGCTCGCTGGTGCAAGGCCAGAAATCTACCGCGTGTTGTTTTCCGCAGCCGTTCACACACTGCTTCGCTGGGGGTTACAAAGCACGTTGAATGTCATGCACTGAAGTGTTTTAAATGACTTGTACTCAATACTCAGTCAATCTATTATGTTTTATTTCGGAGTTGGGGCAAGTCAGCATCAAGTTGTACATCACCAACGCATCAGACCTCAGCCCTGATTCCGAATTTCGGTTTGTGAACGACTGGCACTGAAATCCACCCATCGCAGAAGAGTTCGTGAGCGAACATTCTGCGACCAAACGGACTAGGAATCATGATCGGACGGGCAACTCCTGCCGTAGACGCAAAGTTACCGGAAACAAATGCGCTATTGGGCCCACGGCACAAAGGCCATCTCCTTACCAATACGAAACAGCAACAACAAATACCTGACACACCAAAGGGTGGAGAAAACCGTCGACTGATGATTAGTCGCCGCGTAATCCACGCCCGCTGCGACTGACGCTGTGTAATCCACGCACAAGATGCGGGTGGAGATAAATATATATATATAGTTATGACTGGAGAAGCAATGCAAACTTCACACCATTAAGGCGTGAACATCAGCACAATACACTTCTGACCAAGGTCCGAAGAGCACGAGACCCGCATGGATGCACGAATCAGAGTTGACTGACGGCTACTGAGATCAGCTTTGTCCGCGCACGCCACATGACGACGGGCAATGCTCCTAGCACGATGCGGCAGGAGAAACACTCCCAAAAGGGCATCATCGGCCTTCCTCGTTCCCACAAGAACACATAAGGCTTCCGCGCCGCGCCACTCCGTTCCCGCCCCACATACAGTTTCAGTTGGTCCGGCACGGGCGCTGCCACCTATATCACCGGGTGCGACGCGCGGAGCGCCGACAGGCGGCGGGCCCGCCGTCCGACGGAGACCGCCTCGCAGAGTCGGCAGACGGTGCCGCCGCGTCACCGTCGGCCGCCGCCGCGCCACCGTCGGCCGCCGCCGCGCCACCGCCGGCCCCCGCCGCGCCTGCTGCTGCAATGTCGGCCCCAGCGCGGTGCTCGGGGTCCGGATCGAGAACGCCTTCAGCCCCGACCGCCTCCGGGCGTGGGTTGTCCTCCCTTCGGGCGAGGCGGTCCGCCGGTGGATGACCGTCCTCAACAGGAGCACCATCGCCCACCGCAGCCGCGTTCTCCGCTCGGAGGTGGTCCTCCGCCACCGGTTCTGCATCGCGAAACCCTTCCTGATGAACGGGCTCAGGATCCTCGTTGTTCTGATCCTGATTCATGTGACCTCCGTCTTGATGCTGCGGATTCCCGGCAACCCCGTTCTCCTGCCTCGGAGGGTTCCCGACCGGTCCGTCCTCTTGACCCCGACCAGCTCCATCCTCTTGCCGCCGCTCCTCCTCCTCCGCTCGCCGGCGGCCACCGAACAGATCCACCACGATCACGCCCGGCTGGTTCTCCCAGTCGAGCTCCGGCTCCGGCTCGGGCTCCGGCTCGGACGCCTCCATGCCGTCCGAGTCATCCTCGGACCGGCCGGCGGCGGCGCAGGCCACACACTGGCAGACACGCGGCTGCTTCTGCGGTGGCGCGTCCGCCGGCGAGCCGGAGCGGCGCCGGCGCCGCGCCGTGCCGTGGCAGCCCACCTCGCAGTCGGGCAGCTGCTCGCGCAGCCAGGCCAGCCGGTCGGCCGAGACCGGCGCGCCCGTCACGTCTAGCTGGCGCAGCGCCGGCAGCAGCTCGGGCAGCCGGGCGGCGGCCGTGTCCGAGAGTCGGCAGCCGCGCAGCGCCAGCTGCCGCAACTGCTGGCCGCGGTGCTGGCCCAGCTGCCGGAGCGCGGCGTCGCCGTCCAGCTGGTCGCGCCGGCGCGGCTCCAGCAGCAGCGCACGCAGCCGAGGCAGCTGGCTGAAGCTGCTGACGTCCGAGTCGGCCGCCTGCGTCAGCCGCAGGTCCAGCTGCTCCAGCTGCCGGAAGCCGAGCAGGCAAGCGATGCTGCTGTAGGCCACCTCGCCGCCGAGGCGCACGCATCCGCGCAACCCCAGCCGCCGCAGCCGCTCCAGCTTGCTGAGCGGCAGCAGTGCGTGGCTGTCCACCCAGCCGCAGCCGGCCAGCTGCAACTCGGCCAGGCGCGGGCAGAGCTCGGCCAGCCGGTGGAAGTAGGAACGGCCGGCGGGCCGGTGCGTCACCTCGCAGCCGCGCAGGCTCAGCGACAGCAGCGTCGCCGGCAGCAGGTCCAGCGTCACCTGCGGCAGGGACCAGCACGCATCACAGACACGCTCCGCCCGCCACGAGGAAGCGGACGGGTACGCTAACGGTCGGCGGGGTTGCCATCGACACACGGGACTCGTTTGTCCCTGGTGGTGAGAGCAAGCGCAGCACAGGCATGCCTGCATAGTGACGAACGTCATCAAGTCGACGCGTGAGGTGACCCTACAGCGATGGACACCGCTCACACTGGGCCAGTGCGGCGCATGAGCGGCGTATCGGCTCTGTGGCCGGCTCAGGTGAAGCGGCTCTGCGTCCCACTCGCCACGGCACACGCGTGGGTAGCCTTACGAGCCCCTCCCCGTTACCGCTCACCTGCTCGGCGTTCAGCAGGCACTTCTCGAGCCGGAGCTCCACCAGGGCCTCACACCTGGTCCGAATGTCTGGAGCACGGCAGCGGCCCGTCAGCAGGCGAGTGGCCCCGAGTCCCCGCCCACCCGTCAGTCAACGACCGGCCCAGAACCACAGCCCAAGTCATTTAACTCACAGCTACAGTGTGCTTCATGACGTTAAATAGTTTTGGGGTTTAGTAATACATTCAACAACTAAGGTCACTAGGCGCTCAAATATATCAAACCGGTCTCCGCGGGGACGGGGAAACTCCCGGCCAGGGGCCAGGCTATGCCCCACAACTTCTCGCACACGCTCATGCCGCAAACATCATTCTAACTGAGCAATGCCATCTTCTTCCTCATGGCATTCGCTTTCAGTATGGTCCCGGCCAAAACACCATCTTAGTGACCACACGACGGCACCAAGGTGCACCTCGACCGGAACGAGTCACCCACGCGCCCGTCCTACCAGTGTAGCACACGGGTGAGACGGACGTGTGGGTGACTCGCTCCGTACGGGGCTTCAACACCGCAACGTCACACCCGCCAGCTGCGCGTCAAACTCGTCTCATCGTCGCCACGCGCATCCATCTCCCCGTGGGACACCCTGACAGCTGACCAGACAGCCATCCCTGGTGATGCAGCGGGTCACTCCCACATCGCCTGGCATGACCCCCACCAAGCCCCGAGCGCACACCAACCCGTACCTGTCAGCGCACGGGCGGTGACCAGCGGCGGCCGGTGGCGCAACGGCCGGCCGCGCGTCACGTGCCCGGCCAGACACACGCGGCGCGTGTCGGCGTGCAGGTGGCGCAGCAGACCAGCCAGCTGGCGCGCCCGCAGGCTGGAGCGGCGGAGGTCCACGTCCGTCCAGAGACTGCGGTCCGGCAGGAGGGCCGACAGGCGCCGGCACACTCTGGGGGTAAGGCAGGGTCTGGTCCACATCCTGGGGCAGGACAGGGTCTGGTCCACATCCTGGAGGCAGAGCAGGGTCTGGTCCACACCCTGTGGATGGGACATGAAAGATCCTGTATGATCTGCAAACAGTATATCCCTGGTGATGGGTGGAACAGGGCTGTGACAGGGTGACAGTGCTGATGTACACCTTAGACATCCATGGAGAGCTGGACGTCACTGTGGAGAAAGGGATAGGGGCTGGTGCATGCCCCAGGTACCAGAAAAAAACTGGCACATGTTTGGGGATGGTACTCTTGCTAACTCTACACATCAGGCTCAACCAACACCCAACAGGTGCACAGGGAGCTGATAAACTGGGGATAGCAGAGAAAAATAGTATAAGCAAAGACAAGTAACAAAAAATAGTATAAAATCTCTGGAGGTCTCTATGGCATGCATGAGACCTCATATCTCTAAATCCTAGCTCATTTAGTTGAGGAACAATAAAAAATATCAAAACACAGAACCTTAAACATCCTACCCACAAACCTTATGCCAACTTATACACTGGAAAGTGTTAAATTCTGACCTTGACAAGATGACAACTTCAGATGTTGTGAGGTAGCTCATCACCTGCAGGATGAGTTCATAAGGCAGAGCCAGGAATGCACTGCCCTCTGCCATCCTGAAAATTGTGACACAGGCTGTAACTGATGACAAAGAGCATGCACAATTTTTGGCTTTAGTTCAATGGTGGGAAGGGACCTTTGGCTAGCACATAACACTGATAAATGATGACTCAGCTCATGCTCAACAGATTTTTGGTTGGTGCCCTTGTGGTGGCCATAAATATAAAATGGATGGGACCTCCTCATGAAGACATGCCATGTATTTCATGATATGAGATGATAATGAATAAGTGAACTTGACATGAAAACTAAAACTTGGGGAAGGATAGTCCACTAGGAAAAGGCCAGGCTCAGCATAGCTAACTTAACCAATCAAGGCAAAAATATTTGCTGCCACATGGAACAAAGAGCAGTGTTGTAGGTTCAAAATAAAGTCCTCCATTCTCCAGGTCCTTGGAGAAAGACCAGGAGAATGAAGATATATTTGGGTTGATATTTCAGCAAAATGCCTTTATCAAAACAATAGCAGAAGTCTTCTTGTGCAGAGCTTAACATCCCTGTGTCTCAAACACATACTGGGCCAAAATGAGTTGAATATCCAAACTGTTTGCATTTCACCAATATGTTCAGAACAGTTACACTTCAGACACCATTACAACACCACAATTTATTAAAATTGATTCTACATGCACTGGCATTGGCAAAGAGCACACACCAAACCCAGTGGCCAAATTTTTGGCATACATACACTGAAATCATTGCTGCAGTATTGCCAATACGCAACCTTTTCAGCGTAACATACGTTTTTGCAGTCTGGTTCCCAGATAGCTGTATTGTTCGATGACAACAGGTCCCGATTTTAAAGGTTCAACTTACTCCCAATTTACAAATGTAGTAAATAATCTCAAAACTACACCCACAAGAATCGACAGAAATACCGGAGTGCAGCCAGTGTAGCAAACACAATGGACCTATGTTTAAACTCAAACGACCGACAATGCCATGCCCTGTCGTAGCAGTGATTATCTTCCACGATTTTATTAATAAAAACAATTGTATCCAACAAGACTTTTTGTGCAAGGAATGGCTAATATATGTGGACAGCTAACCACAAACAGGAATCAAGATATGACGTCATAAATATATAAAGTGGCTCTTTCGCTGGTAACGCAGATATTATACTGCTTGAAATACACTGAGTTATTTGTTTATTATAAAAAAATATCCAATAAAAGCGTATTCATGTTTCATAAAACCAGTTGTGATGCTACACGTATCTTGGGATTGCACATAATTGCAACATGTTTCAAAGCTAGTAATTCTGACGCGGCTATGACGTACTTGGTTGATGCGTATTCCGCGATTGATTCCGCGTGTATTTCGGCTGTGAATCTAAATAGCGCTTTGCTGTGTGGCCGTTCAGCTGGTGTCTGTGTAGGACTGTGGCCCATTTGCGTGTGTTTCATTTGACGTGCCCATGATGGGCAGATTACAGTGCGGCTAGGTCCCCGTGCGCAACCAGACATCTTCATCTGGTATTTATGCGGTGTATGCTATTTTACGTTACGATTAATTATCTTTCGCAATTTGATGGAGAATAGGCAGTTGCACAGCTGAGGTGCAGTTAGGTAGTCCTTCAAGTTGTGGGGTGCCAGCTGCTACAGAGATTTCACATCATTTAAGGAGTCACCACCTGCCAGTTTCAGTATGGAAGGTGAGACTTGAAGTGCTAAGTTGTTCTGTTGTTCCATGATCCTGAACATATTTTACAGCAGTCTGCTACAAAATTGCCAGCCCAATTGAGTTGCAGTCAAATATGTTTGATGTTGAAAGGGTGCCACAGGCTGCAATTTACAATGGAAAACAAGGCCTCTGCTTGTGTCATTCCACAATTACTCCTCAGATTGTGTGCAAGGTGTTGTTAAGGTTGGGGGAGGAAACCATCCTGTTAACCTCATTCAACTGTCTGGTAAATAGCAATAAGTTCTGTACTGGAGAAGGGATCCCAGTTAACAGTCTTAAAAGCATCCATGCACCATCACTATTGTTCACAGTTCAGTGTATCTGTCTTTGTAATGTACTTCAAGGATCCTTGTTACCTTGGCCCCATACATTTTTATGGTTCTTGATGCTGCTTGATGCGCAGTAATGTTGTGACCTCATGCAGTAATGGCGCCGGTGTCGCGGGCACTGTGTGTGTGCAGCACTCAGGAGCTCGCCATCGTAATTATAAAAAATTTGAAGGTAGGAGCATGAGTCTACCTGTTTTGTGATTATTTACGATATGTCCTGCCTTAAACACGACAAGTGGTGTACAATGATTTTTTCTAATGTTAGGTAGGAAAGTACATCCTGACCCAACCATGAGACCTAATGATGCCAGCCAGTTTTATATATCCCTTTCCACCAAGAACAAACCTTATCACTACAGCATGCCATTTTCCATCATGATGTAGTGAGTGGTAGTACTTTGAGGAGTAGCATGTCTACCAGGTTGATTAATGCCCATTTATCAGCTGAGCTTTCATTGTGTAAAGATGCCTATTTAGGGCTTCTTCTCTACCTCATGTTGTTGCCTTTTAGCAGGTGCATGGGCTTCTTGCTATCACTTGTTCCTAAAGAAATGCAACAGTCACCTCTTCAGACTCATTTCTCATTCTTGTAGACAATGGTCACTGGCTAGTGATCATATGCACACCATGGTTCAATATGTGGTTGCCATGGAAACTCCCTACCCCAGCTACAGTCATCCCTTCCCTGGCAGGATATCATTGGCTGCCTGAAGGCATAACTGCAGACATTTTAAATGTGTCTAGAGCACTGCATCTCCACAGGCTCACAAATGCCTGTGCCAGACACAAAGCTATCTGATCCAGGTTACAGAGCTTCCTGATCTGAGCACAGTCCCCAGCCCAAACACTGGGCTGCCTGATTCAAGCACAGGGTCACCAGGCTGGGTACATTCCTGGTTCGAGCACAGCACCCTTGTGACTGGACTGCCGCGCCGCCGCCCACCCGACGTTCACATGCTCCACCCGCCGTCGACTACCATGGCGGCGCCGGTGGTGAAGGCGCTCTCGTCGGAGGCCAGGTACACAACCAGCCAGCCGATCTCGTCCGTCGTGCCGACGCGGCCCATCGGCTGACGCGCCACGAACGCTGCGTGCGCCGCCTCCGGGTCGCCGCTGGCCGCCACGCGGCCGCGCCAGCTCGGCGAGTCGACCGTGCCCGGGCAGATGCAGTTGCAGCGGACGCCCTCGGTCACGTGGTCGGCGGCGATGCAGCGGGTCAGCCCCACCACGGCCGCCTTGCTGGCGCCGTAGGCGAGGCGGCGCGCCACGCCCTTCATCCCGGCCACAGACGACATGTTGATGATGCTGCCAGCGCGTCGACGCCGCATCGCCGGCAGGAAGGCGCGGCACATCCAGAACATGGCACGCACGTTGAGGTCGAAGGTGCGCTGCCAGTCGTCGTCGCTGGTCGCGGCCGCGTCACCCTCGGCCACCCAGCCGGCGCAGTTGAAGAGTACGTCGACGGTGTCGGCCAGCTCGGCAGCCAGCGCCTCCACCTGCTGCTTGTCCAGCACGTCCAGGCGACGCACCTGAACGGCCGGCGTCTCGGCCGCCAGCAGCTGCAGCGCCGGCTCGTTCACGTCGGTGGCGATGACGGTGGCGCCCTCCTGCGCGCAGAGCTGCGCCGAGCGGCGGCCGATGCCCTGCGCCGCCGCCGTGATCAGCACGGTCTTGCCGTCCAGGCGGCCCATGGTGACGACGTGGGGAGTGCGGCACGGCAGACGCGGGTGGCTGCCGACAGGGCGGGGCTGGGGTTAGTTTCGGCGTCGTCGTTGGCATGGCTTTCCTCATTGTCGTCACACGACGCGCTTGTTTTGAATTACGCTGGCAGCTGCCCTTTGGTGGAAAAACTGGGGCTCGGGGTGATTGACAAGAGACGAAACTTTGTTTAAATGAAGGAATGCTGTCGAAAGAAACTTTGCAGAGAGGAAACTTTGTTTGGATGTTGTGATGCAGTCTTGATTTATGTCGCGGATGCTGGGACATTCGCTTGACATTTTGACAGGATGGGGGCGACTCGCCAGGAAGCTTTGCTGCCTGTGCCTCGTATCTCGTGCCGGCCTACGAACATACCTACCTTTCACCGAGCCAAAACATTGCACTGGAGACGAATTTAATTACATTGTGAGACGAGTAGCCTGAAGACCTCCATGTAATTGTGATTCGTTGTAAGCACCTAATCATTTTGAGGAAACCCCTACGCATGCACCAGAAGTCAGCGCCCTTTTGAAAAGCGTATGTTAGAGTGGAGGTGACCAGTTTTAATGAATCGTGGGGTCATTTAGAGACTACCTTATGTCCAACAGGTCACAGTTTGTCTTCAAAGTGAAGACCATGATCATGCTTGGATGTTCTGAGGTACCATGTGAAAATGATCTGAAAGTCATTCGGTTGCTTCAAAGTTAGAGGCCATCTAGGCGGTTGTGTGTTTATATTTATCAGTGTTTGTCGCAAAGCGGCCTTCGGTGAGTGAGACTCATGGGACTATCGTGACCTTGAATTAGGCTACTTATTTATTTTGCCGTGAATATAAGGACTTAATGTCAGTTTATACGGGCTCTGAATTAGCCGTATACGGGAGCTACGAGGTGTGAACAACCTTTGCAATTTCGAGTTTGTTATGGCTGTACTTGTGGTCAATTCACAGACCGAATACCCACCTTTCGGAGAGGAGAGTTTTTTGTGATATCGTGCGTTGAACATTGCACTTTAACATTATCGGCCCCTTACCCCTGGCTCCAGCGATTCTGGGGCCGCTGTCATGTATTACTTCCATGGAAACTGACACCTTTCAATGCGCTCAACTCCGCTACAGGGACACCCACCGCCAGACTAGCGCGGTAGCCGGACCCCCAGGCTGTTGAGAACCCCTCCGACCTATTCTGCCCCCTAAAGCGTCCTCTCACCTTGGTCTCTGCGATAGCCGGTGGCGGCGGGTGCGGCGGACGGCGGCGGCGGTTGGTGTGGCGCCGGGACGGGGCGGTGCGGGGGGGAGTGGGGGGGGGGGGGGGGGGCAGCCAGCCTTGGGCGGTCAGGGTCGGCCGGCGGCCGCGGAGCACAAACAATCTCAGCGGGCCCCGGCGCCGCTGATAGGGAACAGAGCTGAGAGGCGGTGTGCGCGCACCGCGTCAGGAGTCGGCAGCGGCGACAGCGGAGCAAGCGGCCGCTGCGCTCCGGCGTGTTTCAGCTATCGGGGGGGGGGGGGGGGGGGACACGGCATACGCAGCTGAAAAAGGCTCGCTCAGGGGACTCGAACGAGGGCTCAAAAATGCATTGAAATATGGGGAGGCTGGGTGAGGAGGTGGTAATGTGCATACGAAGAGGTAACCCAATGATTATTTTTCGCATGCAGTCACGAAGTTGCCGGTCGACACGGACACCCGAGGCTCCACTTATGACGATCACATAAGTGGAGCCCCGTTTGTTTGTCGAATATGCCCCTCAGCCGTTACGCACAATTGTGTGGTGATAACATGATGCAACGCCGATGGAGTCGCATGTTCCAGCTAGGATCTGCACTCCTCGGTCGTTACGATCGTAACAGGCCCATAGCTTGCTTTCTTTGTCTGCTGTAAAGTGACTCCGTTATCGAACATGTGAACCCCCCCCCCCCCCATCTGCGCGCTGTCTCCTATGTTCCGAAGTGATGCGTCGTGACTTGGAGCATTTCCCGCCCAAAAGTGACCTAGAGTAGTCAATAATCACGTCTACTCCATGGGACCCAGTGTGCCGTGAACTTCCTGCTTGCTGTATCCGCATCGTGCCGTACAACCAATACCCACCCTGGCCTGCTGCCTAACCCCCACAGACACCTCACCTTCCGGACCCGTTCGCCTCCCCATCTTCTTCGTGACCTGACTTGACCGGCCCGGGCGCCGCTGCAGCGATGCCGCCACGGTCGTCGGTCTGGGGCGGCCGGCGGGCGACGCTGCTCGGCCTATGCACGGTGCTGGCGGGCGCCTCGCTGGCCACCTGGCTGCTGCGCCGCGCCCACCGCGCCGGCGCGCACCACCTGGCCGGCACGCTGCGCTCCAAGACGGTGGTGGTGGTGGAGACGGCGCGTCAGTGGGCCGACATCAGCGGACAGCTGAGGAGGTGAGCCGTGGGAGGAGGTCACGGCCGGTGGACAGGGAAGGAGCTGGAGAACAGCTGGCGGTGGCGGCGTCTCAAGGGAGGGGATTCGTCGATGGTGAGAGGTCAGGGGGTCGGTGATTAGCGCAGGAGGGGGAGGGAGTCTAGTCCAAGGGTCAGTGACCTGTTAGGAGTTGTGTTGTTTCAGGCAAAGATGGTCTTGTAACACTTGCCATTCTAGTACTCTTCGCTCGCAGTGATGCGCCGTTTGGAAAAGTACCCACAGATACCACCGGGGTCGAGTCGGCATGTTTTACCGATGCGGTCGCTTGCTGGTGTTGCTGTACGACGTGTGCAACCACATATCCTGTGCAACGTACCTATTTCTGGTCGCTGCCCCACCTCCAGCACCACCGGGCTACTGACAACCACAGTGCCTCCACCCCCCCCCCCCCACCCCTCTCCCCCGGTTTCTGACCGCCACACGGTCAGCCGGTACCTGACGCCCGCCGCCGCCGGCAGCCGCTGCGCCGCTGCTCCCGTCCTGGGGTTCGACTGTGAGTGGGTGACGCGCGGCAGCGAGCGCCGTCCGGTGGCGCTGCTGCAGCTGGCGACGCTGAATGGCCTCTGCGTGCTGGTGCGACTCTGCCGACTCGGCCCGCACGTGCCCGACGACCTGAAGGTGTGTGTGTGTGTGTGACGCCGCCGACTATTCGCCGCTGTTCGCGACTGAGAAGACATCGCCGGCACTGGGTCGGGCCATGGGGCACGCATTACATTAGACACACACGCACGCACGCACGCACGCACGCACGCACGCACATATATATATATATATATATATATATATATATATATAATATACACATGGTATTGTATGTATAATATATTCTCCTTGGTCGGGCTCAGGCGTGGGTGGGAATAGGTGTGACTACATCGCTCTGCATGCTGTTCACAAAATAGACGAAATGAACTCGAACTTTCTACAAAGAAGACATGGTGGACGCAAGTTAGTTTCGTTGAATTTAGACGTAGCAGCCAAAACCGTCGGGCCGTGCTGTGGCACGTCTGATCATGTGCTGTGGCGTTCCGTCGGGCCGTGCTGTGGCACGCATGATGATGTGCTGTGGCGTTCCGTCGGGCCGTGCTGTGGCACGCATGATGATGTGCTGTGGCGTTCCGTCGGGCCGTACTGTGGCACGCATGATGATGTGCTGTGGCGTTCCGTCGGGCCGTGCTGTGGCACGCATGATGATGTGCTGTGACGTTCCGTCGGGCCGTGCTGTGGCACGCATGATGATGTGCTGTGGCGTGCCGTCGGGCCGTGCTGTGGCACGCGTGATGATGTGCTGTGGCGTTCTGTCGGGCCGTGCTGTGGCACGTCTGATCATGCGCTGTGGCGATCTCTGGTGACGTGTTTGCCCTGGCAGGCCCGATGGGGACGCTGATGGCATGCTGGCTATCCCCTGAGCTCTGCTGCGGGACTTTGATGCGTCCTCCGCCCCGTCACGGCCTGTTGTCAGACCTCTGACGTGAGTCCCGCTCTCCTTGCCAGGCCCTGCTGCGCGACCGCTCCGTGCTGAAAGTGGGCGTGGCGTGTCTGGAGGACGGCGCCCTGCTGCTGGGGGACCACGGCTTGTCGGTGCGCGGCTGTCTGGACCTGCGCCACCTGGCCGGCCGGCACCCGGACAAGGCGCGGCTGCTGGCCCGGCCCGGTCTGGCCTCGATGGCCGCCCTCCTTCTGGACGTGCAGTTGAGCAAGAGCCGCCGGCTGCGCTGCAGCAACTGGGGGGCCGATCAGCTGACCGACGCGCAGCAGGTGCGGCTGCGGCTGGGGCTGGGGCTGGGGCTGGGGCTGGGGCTGGGGCTGGGGCTGGGGCTGGGGCTGGGGGGTGCGGCTGGGACTGGGACTGGGACTGGGACTGGGACTGGGACTGGGGCTGGGGCTGAGACTGAGACTGAGACTGAGGCTGAGACAGACTGAGACTGAAACTGAGGTTGAGGCTGGGGCTGAGGATGAGGCTGAGGCTGAAACTGCGGCTTAGACTGAGACCGAGACTGAGACTGGGAGAAACAGTTACAGCTCCCACATAGCTCGTGACCAGGCCAAGCCTTTCAGTGGTGCCCCGCCATGGCAGACGTCGCTGGACTAACGGCCGTCGCGCCGTGCCGGCAGGGCTACGCCGCCAACGACGCGCTGGTGGGAGCGCTGCTGTTCCAGGCGCTGCTGCAGCCGCGCGTGCCCGAGCTGAACGCCGAGAGCTGGCCGCGTGTCCTCGCCGCCTGCCAGGGGCTCGTCGACTGCAAGTACAAGCCGAGCCACAGTGTGAGTGGGGAGAGGGAGGGGAGACATGTGAAGCGACGGGTGTGTTGTGGAGGTGCGTCGAGTGCCAGTGGGACCAGGCGTGTCTAGCTGCGTGAACGCAGAGGCACGCGCACAGTTTTGCTGCCAAGAGATGACCCACCGCGATGTATGCATCGCAGCTCCATTGTGTTGATCACGCTTCCAGCTTGGAGCGTTAAATCCGGATGGTTAGCAGTGTGTGGCATGCAGAGACCTGGATCGTGCGTAGTGTTTAGATATCCTAGAAATTTTTGTCTTTTAGCTGCGCCCAGTTTTATCTTTTATAGTCATAATCACTTCCAGGTTTAACCCATGGCACTGCCCACGGCGACATAATTACCGCCGCGTCCACCTAACTCCGACTGTTTTCATATGTTTCCACACGCCCCATTTTTTCTTAAGATTGGATCCGAACTCTTTGAATGGATGGATTTCTGGGATCAGAGCTCACACTAAGCAGCGATTGTTGTGTGAGCCCTCACTCCTGCCATCGGATCGCGCAATTCCAGGCAACGGCGGAACTTAGTGGCGAAAGTTAAAGTGCCGCAATGTTCGGCACGGTCCGTCCCGCCCTCTGGCGTCAACTGACCTTTAGCGCGACCGCTGCCACCGGCCGCAGGCCACACCTGTCAAGGGCAAATAGTGAGCACCTAAAGCGGCTCCAACCCACCCCGCCACGGGTGGGTGAATCGGAGGGCAGGCACTCTAACCAACTGAACCACCGGGACGGACTTGGACAGCCATGACATGTGAACGCTTTTGACGTCCGTCTCTGCGGTATTTTGATGACGAATACATCAGCCATCTGCCGTGACCCTAGGCCATGCCTACCGTCCCCGCGACATTTGCCGCCATTAATAAACCAACAGGGACGTTCGGTGTCGAGACGACGGCTGGAAAGGAAGCTGTCGTACTCTCGTGTCCTGTGCTGTGGCCATGCTAGAAATTTGCCACGTGACATGCGTACCTGCGTGATGTTTTGTTCAGAGCTGCGGCGTACCTTGACATCCATTTCTCGCTCTCACAAAGCGCCAGCCGACGGCGTGCTGTGCTCCGTAGCGGCTGCCCCAGGCCTCGGCCCTGACCTCTTCACCTGTGCCTGGCAGCTGCGGGCCGGGGCCGACCTGACGGTGGAGCCGCCGCCGGCGACGGCGCGACCCGCCGGTCGGCCCGTGCCCACCTCCTACCAGCAGAGCAAGCAGGCGGACCGGGCGTACTCGCTGCGCAAGACCCAGCTGTACGACAACGCCCGGCTGGTGGCGCCCGACGACCAGCCGCTGAGCGTCGTCGAGAACACCAAGGCCAGGTCAGGCGCCGCCTGGGGAAGCAGGGAGGCAGGCAGGGAGGCAGGGAAATAGGGAAACAGGGAGGCAGGCAGAGAGGGAGGCAGGGAGGCAGGCAGAGAGGGAGACAGGGAAGTAGGGAAACAGGGAGGGAACCAGGGTCAGAGATGTGCCGAGGACGTTTTTTTCCTATTGACGTCAGGTGTGGTCTGGTTTGAAGAGATCGCTAGGACACCCACGTGCCGCCGTCGGGATGAATCCGTCTGTTTGGATCGCACACCTCGTCTGCGGAGAGTCGACCCGTCGCCTGGCCGCGACTGTCAGAGGTGGGCGACCCGCGCTCACCGGCGCCGTTGCAGATGGTACGTGCAGAAGGGTCTGGGTGACGTCATTCAGGAGGAGCCGCTGGTGGTGAAGCTGCGCTTCGAGCCAGCCGGTCGACCCCAGCTGGAGGGCGAGCATGGACACTACTACCTTCAGGTCAGCGGACAGTCCGGCCGCCGAATCGCCGCGTGAAGACGGCGCTCCCATACGAATGTGCTGCGCGGAGCGTTTTTTTATGCATTGTGAGTGGGATAACATGGCGAGAGAAAGCCAGCTCAGGTTTGGAAGCAGTCGTCATCGTAATATGACAGGGAGTTTGCTATCTGGATTACTAAGGAAGCTAGTTTCAAAGCTGGTTTCGCAGGTTTGAACGCGCGACTTCGAGTTTTCGACTCAGTCACCAGGCTTCGTTGCGATGTCTTCAGTATACCCGATCATCGGTTTAGGGTTTTGGGAGAAGACATCAGTTTAGGGATTTGCTATGAGACCCGCACCAGTGTTGTCAGCGCTGGTGTAGGCTCACGGATCAGTCCCCGATGTTGTCAGTGCTGGTGTAGGCTCACGGATCAGTCCCCGACGTTGTCAGCGCTGGCGTAGGCTCGCGGGTCAGTCCCCGGTGTTTTCAGCGGTCCCTGATGCCTGTTAGTGCGCTGTTGCTAAGGATCTGAGGTGCGATTGATGACGTCAGATCTGACTCATCTCTCCCCGCTGCTTAGGAGAAGGACAATTGCTGTGTCAAGTGCGGAGCGAGCGACGGGTACGTCAAGAAGAATATTGTGCCACAGGAATACCGCAAACACTTTCCAGGTAAGTATTAGAGACAGCGGAAAAAAACACGAAAGTGTTAGCTTAAATTTATAGCCGTGTAGAATGAGAATTGTACCCATTTCCCGTGTCTCATTGCCAGCTGAGAATGTTTTGTTTCAGGGTTCGTTGAAAACAGATCGTTAACGTGTTCACATCAGGAACAATGCCATACCTAAGTTGTTAAGTGCATTTGCGAGGAGCCTTATTCACATAGATGAGACAGTAGTGATAGCTTTTCGTCGGAGAAAAACCAGGAGAATGGAGATATAGATGCGCTGACATTTCGACAACATACTTGTATCGAAACAATAGCGCGAGAGTATTAGACGAATTCACTTCTGCTATTGTTTCGATAAAGGCGTGTAGCCGGAATATTAACGCATCTATAGCTCTACTCTCCTGGTTTTTCTCCGAGGTATGAGGCTATTAATACTGTCTTAACAATGTCATACCTGTCGTCAGCATGCAGGCAGCAATGTCATCTTGATGTGATTTTTGCTCATCATTCTTGATCAACACTTCATGGCATCGGGAGCCTGTACGCGTTGCATGTATGTGACATGGTGTCAAAGCTTAAATCCGTTTAATACTTCCAGCAAATGATCGGTGCATGTTTTAGAGCTGCTTAATTCTCCTGGTGTTTCTTTCGTTGTCTGAGATCTTCTGATAGTCTGTTTTCTTTGCATTGTCTCATGCCGTATAGAAAACATTTAACCCATGTTTCGCCGGCGGCCCGCGTGTCTTCGCTGTTACAGAGATCATGAAGTCGCACCAGTCACACGACGTGCTGCTGATGTGCCTGCCGTGTCATCAGCAGAGCAACTGCCTGGACCTGGCGCTGCGCCACCAGCTGGCGCTCGAGTGTGGCGCCCCCATCGGCACCGAGACGGACGTCAAGGTTCGTCGGCGTCTGACGCCAGCGCCGGCGAGCGCTGCTGGACTGTTCCGAACGCGCCGGTGTTAGGTTCTGTGCGTGCCGGGCGCGGTTCCGGACCGTTTTGACGGAGCTCGATAGCTGCGAGTGGTGTCGTACCGTGCCTGACGTAAGCCGCGCACCCGCCGGACGTTTTTTGTCAGCGCCCGCCGACGCGGCGCGTGACAGCGCCGGCCGTGTTCCGGCAGGTCCGCGAGGACAAGGACCTGCGCCGGGTGAAGTCGGCTGGCCGCGCCCTGCTCAAGAACCGCGACAAGCTGCCGCTGGAGCGGGCCGCCGAGCTGGAGCAGGTGATCTGCGGCTACTACGGCGTCGAAGACGTCACCGATGGCGTGCTGCAGCGGGCGGTGGACGTCAAGACCAAGTGAGTGCTGGCACCCCGAGCGACGGCGTGGCGAGTGGTGTGCGGGTCTCACGGGCGGCGGGAAGTATAGAGCTGTCGGGGCGCGTGGTATGAGGCTGAGAGAGCTCGGAGTGCGTGAGGGACTGGGAGGGAAGGGGACGCCAAGAGAACCTGAGACTGCGGCGGTGCCGAGGAGTGTGGGGCTGATGGTCAGTGGGACTCTGATTGCCACATCACAAAAGACTTGGACATCTCTGGCTACGACGAATCATGATGCTAGCCGTAGGAGTGAGTTTTCAGTCATATCTATTTTAAGACACGCCCTCAGGCTGTTTTTTTTTGTAGCTACTCCTTTGGACATCCGGTGCGTTCGGAACTCGTCAAACATACTGGGATTTTCCGTGGAGAAAGTGCTCCTACGCACACGAGGGGTTTCAAGAAAATTACCCTACGAAACCCACGGTTGTTTGGGGCCGCTTGTGACACTGAGACCTCGGCGTCCTGTGAACCATAATGCCTTTTGCTTAGAACCAAGGGTCCAGAGTGTCAGTAGTTTGTCCATGAGCATTTAGCAGAATGTTTCAGAAGAACGTGAGCATGCGTGGTGGATGGCAAGCAGTGATTTACTGGGTTCACCCGCAAGCACTGTCCAAAACGATCATGCTGAAGCGTCGCACAACCTGCGCCTGCGTTGGCACGCGTAGTGCCGTCGTCTCCATGACGGGGCGATCCTGATCCGCTGCAACGCTACGCTCCGCGAGACCACGCAACTGTTCTCGGCTACAGCGCTCCGGTCGTGATCCTGCGCGGGGTTCCGCTCGCCCTGCGCGGGGAGCGCGCGCTTCTGGCTCCGGTCGTGCTCGTGCGCGGGGTTCCGCTCGCCTCGCGCTGGGGAGCGCGCGCCCCTCGCTCTGGCCGTGTCTTTGCGCGGGGTTCCGCTCACTGCGCGAGGGAGCGCGCCCCTCCCTCTGACCTGACTCATCACCCGCCACCGACAGCCGCCTGAACGACGAGTACGTGCCGCACGGTGAGGCGGTGTACCGGCACTTCTGCAAGCTGGGCCTGGTGCAGCTGGAGCGGCGCTGGCGCCAGCACTTCCTCGACTCGATGCGGCCGGCGCACCTGCCGCGACTCTGGAGCGTCGACCACAACCACGCCAAGATCCGCTGGAAGATACGACGCGCCGACTGGCCGGCCGAGGTCAAGGCCGACGTCTGGCGACGGTGCATCGGCACGGCCTTCGAGAAGGGCGAAGCGGACGACGAGGGGCCGAGCGAGGGCGAGGCGTGATGGCGCGAAGGAACAGTGCCGGAGGAGGCAGAATGTAGCGCGAGCAGTGATAGGGCGGTGCAGAGGCGCAGCGTGAGAATCGCTGACGACGGTGGAAGCGCTGGCGGTGTTGGAAGCTGGTGGCCGGTGGGCGGTGCCGGGAAGCCGCTGGCCGGTGAGCGGTGTGGTCGCAGGATGTGTCGAGAGGGCTGGAGTGAGCGGGGCGTGGCCACGTGGTCCAGTGGTGCGAGACTGGACGCCTCCTGAAGATGGGGAGCAAGATGTGATGCAACAGCACTGGAGATGATCTGCCAGTTGACATGCGGGGACCGCTCGTCTGTGATTTGATCTGTGATGATCTCGGGGCCGCGATAAAAACTGCTCTTACGGAAGGTCCGTGGGCGAAGCACGCTCGTCAGTCCAACTGAAGAAAATTGTAGTGGCTAGGTGGACAACAAATAGCGGACGACCCTTACGCGCGAGCATTATTTCCGTAGACATTGTAGCTCTGCTTGAGTTTAATACAACACCATGGACACCACATCTGGACGTGTGAGTGGCACCAGGCATATCCATTCCATGTTTGCTCGCAGTCGGCTGTTTTGACAGACAAGCAGACATACGGCTGCCCATCTGGAGAAGCCTTGGTTTTTAACGATTTCGTTGGGTGTGCGACAATGAGACTTGTCGTCCACTTATAATCGCTGGATGGCGCCATCACTTCTTTGGTGGACACACATATTGTGTGTATCTGCGAGTAGCTTACCTGAAATACCCTTGATTGGGTAGATGAATATCTGTGTGTGTGTGCGCACACCACTGAATTGACTGACGATTTACTTAACCAGACTTGCTTTATCTTCCGGTCGAAGAAACGATCACTGGCCCTAGAATAGGCATGTTATGCCTCATGTTTGCTGGTTGCAGGAGAAATACCATTATTGGTTGCCTTCTGCCATGATAAATGCATCGCTATTTTCTGCCTTGAGTGTTGCCGACCACCTGGGTACCTGTTACCATCATATACGCGTATGCCATCACTTGACACTGCCGGGCTTCTGTGAGGATTTTGCCGCCATGGACAGCGATTGCGGCGAGCATGCCAGAAAACACATTCATAACGTAAGCGTGTAATGCTGGACAGCTGCGCCCCTTTGTCAGGGGTTCGCATGACAGGTGTCCGTGCCACCACTTATCATGACACGCTCGCTGTCACGGAGCTCGACAGAGCCAGCTGACGCCGACGGGCCCTCGAGCGTGGGCGGTCGTTGCGTGGACGGCACTGCGGTACGCTGACTCGACGCACCACCCCTGCGCGAGCGGGCGACGGCGGCGACGAGGGGCGGGGGTGATGACCATAGCCCACCAGCGCCGCCGCGGCGAGCACGAAGCGCCGTTTCCCCACTGTGTTGCGGAAGCTGCCAGCGCCGTTATGCACGGACGTTGCGAAAGGAGCGGGTCCGTGGCTCGACCTGACAAAGGAGGGCAGCGGGCGCCGTCATGGCGAACCAGGCGCGAGCATGGTGCCGAACGGATTAGGTCCGCCGAGACCCCGGTGAAAGTCGTCGGCGCAGCGTGGTTTGACGGAGTGTGAGTGTGTGTGTTTGTGTGTGTGCGGGGTCGCCGGAGGCAGTGTAGATGCGGGACGTTTCAGATTTCGTGAGGCGATGTTCAGAGGATGTTCGGAAGGCGCTGACTGGCGTTTCTCGGGCGGACGCTGTCTGGCGGTTTTCAGATAATGTCGGCTGAATGGAAGCTCGTTGACGATTCAACGAAGTTGGCAACAATAAGCTCGCACACGCGGTCAGGACAATGATTTAGGGCGAAGTAACAACTGGGGAGGAAGTGGGAAGTGTGGCCTAGTGGGAAGGTCGGCCACAGCTTGTTATGAGCGGGGCAGCAGGCTCAGCAAGTCTCAACGTCAACTGAGCGGTATTGTCAGCAGAGCTGGTCGGTCCACTTCAGTCAGCTTTCAACCAGCGCTCAGCCTGGCCCAGTCCGGACAGTCACGCTTTTGACAGGTTTATATCTTTCCAATCAGGATTGCAGCGACGTGAAGCTTTCAGCAACAAGTGATGCAACTTCAAAAGTTGTGTCACATTTTTACAAGGCACTTACCTGCAGGCTGCTAAATAATATGCCGCATTTTTGCGGTGTTGCAATATCACCGCTCTGTCACCTTTCTACTCGATTGGAAGGAGTGTCCCATCCTTGGCGAATATTTAAAAAAACACACTAGTAAAACATCAGAACCAATTACGTCTGGTGAAAACACTGGGTAGGGCCACTGCAGCACCGCCAAGACGCAGTAAGGAAATCAATTCTGATTATTTCGAGTCCACATTACGCTATCAACGCGCTGTAACAGCACCACGCTTCTTCTCTACAGTTTCAGTTCTCTTCTTCTTTACAGTTTCAGTTCTCTTCTTCTCTACAGTTTCAGTTTTCTTCTCCGCGATCGCCGACGTTATGACAACTGTCGTGGCCCCTCTACTGGTGCGAATAAAACAACGTTTGTGATTGACCATGCGGACGGAAAAGCCTGAAACCGAGAGGCGCGTTGGTTGAAATTTGGACCAGTGCACCATTATGGCTCATGCCATGCCCCCTATTCTCAAAGACAAGGCACGCTTCAAAAAGAGCCTAGTTGGTAAACGCCAAAGGGAATAACCATCAAAGCCATAGTATAACGTGTCGCATAATTCGCGGGATAATGGCTTCATGTTCGCATATTTTTTGTCTGAACAGCGTTTCAAGCCTTTATGAAGGCTTGAAGCAGTGACATCTTTTAAGCAAACATTTTTAAAATAATTTATGCGTTGCAAACATTGCAAAACACAAACTTTGGAAACAGCGATGCAAATGAGATGCATTATTTTCAAAGCGGTAACCAGAGATCGATGAAATTTCTTCCACGGCCACTTTAAATCGAAATTCTAAGCTTTTAGGAAGGATTTTGAGAAGACTGATACTACTGGCCAAATCACGCGCGTCCAATCTATCGTTTAGTGAAAACCACAGAAAGATGACATTCTTCCTTTAAATGCATGGCGTAAGCTGTTCAAACTGTGAGCACACCTCGGGAGCGCGCGCCGGCAACAGCTCCAGTTTCGCAGCCGGACGTCACAGCAAGGCTCACGCTGGCGTAGGAGAGAACGATCAGGCGTATCAGCAGGGTGTCAGCGAGCGCACATTCATGCATTAGCGTGCACAAACCAGGTATCGGCCTCGAAAAGCATCCTGAGGGCGTTTTTAAGCACGGATCTCAGATCTCGGCAATCAGGGCAGGTAGAGACGTAACACCAGCTGTACAGTGTAGATGACAGTACCGTCCAGAAGTCATCAGAGGTTCTGATAACTGTCCGGCCCATAGGAGCAGCGAAGCAGCCGATGGCACCGCTTCCAAAACCGGGCTCAAATAAGACATAGTTGCCGCCGCCATCGCAGGGATTGGGGATACAAGTTTCCCATGAGCATGATGAGCGCCCTTTGCTCGAACACCAGCTTGTGTGATGTCGGTCCTGATGGCTTCAGGCTGCTGAGAAGTCCTAATGGGTGATTCGCAGCCTTTTATAGGTTTGGGGCAATGTTCACCTACTTGCAGGTCCTTGTCTCTCCACGCTGGCCTGTTTGCTGAGTTAGGTTGGGTCTTCGTGTTGTCCCTGGAGTCTTGGTTGAGATGCTTGGTGATGCTCTGCTCCTCACTTACTCTTCGTCACGTTAGAATTATATAACGTCACGAATGACCAGTCGCGTAGGAAGTATTTTCGGAACCATCACTCAGTTTTATGTTCGTGAGTTCCAGGGACCGCTATATTTAAGCTTTACTCGATCGCTGCCTTTGGAACAGACAGATACACAATCGTTTAGCACGCGGTAGCCATTATTCCTCACTGCTCTGATATCCTCCAAATGGCGCGGATTCGACGGTCACCAATGCCAATCCTGTGAGGCAGGCTTACTCGCGCTTTACCGCACATGACGGTCTTATCTAGACCAAGTGCGATATGAGCCTTCCTCTTGCCATGGTGATTCAGTACGTGCTGCGCCTTAGGGGTCGACTAACGACGGTTCTCGAGTTATTAGAAGCCAAGGGATCGAGTTTCCAGTGTATCATAGATTACCTGCATAGGTTTCCGAAGCACGCACGCACGCACGCACGCACGTGCGTGCGTGCGTGCGTGCGTGCGTGCGTGCGTGTGTGTGTGTGTTTGTATATAAAATGTTTATGGTTCTTTTGGCACAAGGACCGTCGCCTTCGGAAACCTATGCAGGTAATCTATGATACACTGGAAACTCGATCCCTTGGCTTCTAATAACTCGAGAACCGTCGTTAGTCGACCCCTAAGGCGCAGCACGTACTGAATCACCATGGCAAGAGGAAGGCTCATATATATATATATATATATATATATATATATATATATATATATATATATATATATAGTATTGCACTCGGTGACACATTCACGCAGGCGCAAAATGACCCTAGAAGTCGACGCGCCCTAAAACCCCAACCATCATCATCGACACATTCACGCATAACTGTGGCCTTTAATGTGCCGTTGCGACGAGTGAGCTTGGTTCGAACCGCACGGACAGCGAGAGGGACGTCCAAGGGAAGAGGATGACGCCATGGTGTTGGCACCGCGCCCAACAAGGCGCATCTACGAGGTGAAAACAATCACGTCTGTTATCAGCTGATCATCTCGCCCGTCCCCCGTCCCACGCCGCAACAGACGTGTCGGTGGTAAGGTGAGCTACTTTTCCACTCCACGGCAGGCCTCAATCCTCTGAAAGCTGGTGCCCCATGGCGAAAACCGGCCGCGCCGACCACGCTGTAGTAAGTTCTTCTCAGAACGGGCGCGAGACGTGCCGGGGGTCAGCGCGGGAGGCCGGACGTCCAGCTGCAAGCTCTGCTTTCAAACGTCAGGCGAACGACGCGCCGCAGCCGTGAAGGAAGCATGGGCATCTACGGGACTGCCCTGGCCATTTACACCCTGCTTCCGTCTGTCGGCTCGTGACGGAGTCGCAGCGAAAAAGGCCAAATCCAGAGCGGCTTTGTATCGAACCTGCTCGCGTGAAAAATGCGGGGGCGACATACGTCACGTACGGCCGAGAGAGCGGCTAGAGCCGAGGCCCCCTCTCTCGGGGTCCGGACACCAGGGATTCCGCTGACCACCACCGCGGTCAGCGGAATCTGTGCTCGATCGTGATGATCCGAAGGTCGTGTGTGCAGCTGAAGGCTGGTTTCCCACGGCGAAAATATCGCGCCGCGACCGCATGCTGTAGTAAGCCATTCTCAGAGCGGGTGCGAGGCGTCCGAGGCACGGGTTTAGGTGGGGAGAGATGGGAGATGACGGGTGCTCCCTCCGCCACCGTCACCACAGGCACAGACACCGGCTTAGCTGGGGAGAGATGGGGGATGACGGATGCCCCCCACCGCCGTCATCACAGGCACAGACACCGAGCTAGGGGGGAGAGAGTAAGGGGGGTGGCGGGTGCCCTCCCCCCACCGTCACATCACAGGCACAGACACCGGCCTTAGCTGGGGAGAGACGGGGGATGACGGTTGGCCCCCTTCCGCCACCGTTCACCACAGGCAAAACACCGGCTCCGGTGGGGAGAGATGGGGCATGACGAGTTCCCCCTCCGCCACAGTCACCACAGGCACAGACACCGGCTTAGCTGTGGAAGAGATGGGGGATGACGGGTGCCCCTCCGCCCCGTCATAACAGGCACAAACCCGCTTAGTTGGGAGAGAGATGGGGGATGACGGGTGCCCCCTCCGCCACCGTCATCACAGGCACAGACACCGGCTTAGCTGGGGAGAGATGGGGGATGACGGGTGCCCCCTCCGCCACCGTCATCACAGGCACAGACACCGGCTTAGCTGGGGAGAGATGGGGGATGACGGGTGCCCCCTCCGCCACCGTCACCACAGGCACAAACACCGGCTCAGGTGGGGAGAGATGGGGGAT